GATGCAGGCACCTAATCCTTCGACATGCAGTTTGGACTAGTTTTCGGATGCTGGAAATTCTATTTTATGAACTTGAATGGGTTGTACAGGCTATATTTGAAAAATTAAAGATATTCTAAGGTCACTAAAGTGGTCAAATGAAGTAATGTCTATGAAGTTTCTAGAAATAAAGTTGGTGTTAATTAGAATAGAATTGGAGGTGTTTTGGTGCACTTCACTAGCTACTCAAACTGTGGGAGTTCATTTTTTGACTATCTTACTCCATAGGTCAAGGAACATCTATCTGTATAAGTCTTTTTAACGGTTCCTAATCTTGGTTTCAAATCCCCTTTCACCGACTTCAAAAGTCATCTGGGGAGGGGAGTATGCTAATTTTAAGGTCAAAAATTTCAAACCCTTGTAACCATTGGAAGCGAGTATCACCAGAGGTGCTGTTTGTCATATGAAAACACTACTACTGTTTCACCCCGACACAGTCAACAGTAAAAATTAGATGGCTGCTACCTTGACGTGGCAGTCGTGCTTGTATATCACGACGGCTCAACGAGCTACACTAGCTGGAACGCTTGTTCCCTCGAGGCCCTACCATACCAGAAAGATCTGCTAGATAGTGATCAGACAAAAAGCTGTTACCCTTGACCTTAAAACGTTCTTAAGCAATGAAATGATGCATTATGATGGCTTAGATCAGTCATCATTGGTTAGTGGTGATCCAAAACCACAGGACGTATACCTGCCCACACTTTCCATAATACAGGCCGGTTTTCATGGCATCAGAAAGGCCATATGTGACCGGTCTCTAGCAGGCTCTGCCATCACGCACTAACCTTTCTTCTTCAGGTACTTCAAAAAGGCATAACTTTCTGCTGTGTGGGCGGCCGGGAAATGTCAACCGTTCTCATAACTCCGTCAGCGCTTAGGTGCCCTCAGACTACGATCCACCTCTCCTTTCCTTACACCTTCTTATCTTCCTTTACGTCTTTCAGTTAACAATCCTACCTCATCTTTAATTGCTCCTCACCCATCATACATTCAAATAGACATAGAACCAGGCGTTCCTGCGTAACGGTCCGAGTTGCTACAACTCATCAATACATCGAGTAACAGGACAATAAAATAGAAGATGAAGAAAGAAAAATCGGCTAAAGGAAGTAGGAAGTAGTAAAAAAGTGGAAGGAGGAATGAAAAATTCTGAATCCAGTATAGCAGTTAAAATGAGGATAATGTATATATACATCTACTTCACTGACATCGGTTCTGAGACAAATCAGCTAAAATCTCCAACCACTAGTTTCTCTTTTCCCACGGACCCCAGCCGGCTAGTTTGTATCGCCCTACATGGCTCAAACCAACAGTCAAAGACTTCATGCATTGATGCCATTTTTTAGTCTAGCCGTCCTGCTCCTTTTTCCAGCACAAACCTACTTCGGTCAACATTGTGTGACGAGGCAGACGGCGGTTAGGTATACGTAACACATGTTCCAGCCATCTCAGTCGATGAAGGTTCACAACGTATCAACTGACTTACCTCTTCTATCTCTGCAACTTTCGAAAACAATCTGAGTTCACAGAACAGCATCACTGGTCTCCTTTAAACCATACTCCAAATTACTCATTGGAGCCTATAATGTCTGCACCCTTCGTCAAATTGATCAGCAAGCTTCATTAGCCAAAACTAGTAACTCGGACCATGGATATGTGCTGTGTTTGTGAGATACTGGTACAGGATCCAGGTGCAGTTATTCACTCAACCTCTCTCTGCCATATGGTGAATCCACAAAATTCACCCTTCGAATTTCCGGAGATTCTATGGCCAGGTCTCGCGGTCTTGCAGGTGTAAGCATGGCATTAAGCACTAGGGCAGAAAGCTAACTACTAGACTGAACGGCACAATGAAAATTTAAAAATACAGTGAAAATCGCGCTTATCTTTTTGTTATCTTTGCTTACGCACTGCATTTCGGATGAAGTGAAGAATGAGTTCTACCGAAAACTGTCTAGTCTCCTTCTGAAAGCCAAACGCTCAGGTGTGGTTGTTGCAGGTGATTTCAATGCACAAGTCAGGCAGAAAGGCACTTAGGTGGCACTTTTGGTATCCTTATGGAACGAACAGGTCTTGGTGATCGCCTACTACAACTGTGCTCAGATAACCGTTTGTTTCTAGCTAGCACAAACTTCAGACGTAACGAAAGACAGTCTGACATGGCGTCCACCGACTTCAACTGAGGAATGCACACAGACAGGTAACATTGCCATCAGTCATCGCTGGGAAGAGTCGGTGGAGTACGTGTTTGGATAGCAACCATGCGTTGGTCCGAGCACGTATATGTCTGTATCTCAGTGGACGTAAAGAAACTGTAGCAACAAGACCATTACGAGTGCAGATTGACAATGAGAACAATAAGGCTACTTTCAGTGAAGAACTGGTTGGGAACCTATCGGAACAGAACGCTATCACTTATCCGGAAGACGCTTGGTACCATCTCCAGTCTTCTGTGAAGACAGTGTTGAAGACCGTAGTCGACTCTCAAAGAGTGGTTAAAGAGAGCCAGTGGATATCAGCAGCTTCTTCTGAATCAATGGATGCACTCAAACGCATCTCTGCAGGCTTTGAGTACAGTGAGGAACGAAAGCAGCTCAAATCTAGACTAATAAAAGGTTCACTCAATGACCGAGAACAGTGGTGGGCAGCGAAGGCTAAAGAGATGGAAAAGGAAGCGGCGATAGGTAACAGCAGACAGTTATTTAGACTGATTAGGGGAACTGAGGTGAAAAGGTTATAGGTTAGTGAGACTATAACGGAGAGGGACGGGCCTGCGATTCACTCGCAGGGGAGACGGCTGGAACGATGGGTTGAACACTTCGAGGGACAGTTTAACTGGCCTCTAGCCACCATTGTGTTGCCCGCTATTCAGTCGGATCCTGAATGGAACATCGAAATAGGCCCCCCAACACTAGCAGAAGTCGAGAAAGCGGTAAGTAACTTGGAACGAGGAAGGGCGGCATGACCAGATGGACTAACTTGTGAGGTATACAAGGATGGGGATTAGAGTGTTCTTAGTCTGGTTAACGGAGTTGTTAACTAGTATATGGAATCAAATAGTATCCTCTCACTGATTATCCCAGTCTTCAAGAAAGGCGAGAAGTCCTCTTGTGATAACCACAGAGGAATCAGCCTGACGAACATAGTATCCAAAATTCTGGGTTCTATAATTCTTCGACTCCTGAGTGGAGCTCGGGAACAGCAAGCCCGAGGAAACCAGGCAGGCTTCAGATCTGGTCATGGATGTATCGACCAAATGTTCACACTCCTCCAGGTTGTGGAACACAGGCACACTTACCGACTCCCAACAATAGCCGTATTTCTTGATCTGAAAGCGGCACTCGACTCCGTCAGTTGAGAAGTCTTGTAAGTGTCTAACTGATAGAGGTACCGAGTAAGCACATCACCCTAGTGAAGGCTCATTATTTGAACACCTATGGGCATGTTAGGGCCTGTGGTGAGATATCGGGTGAGTTGTGTACGCTGAGTGGTATCCGCCAAGGATGCCAATTCTCTCCATCCTTATTCAATTTTATCATAGATATTCTTATGAAGGTCTCCCTCTCGTCATCTGACCACATAGAGAATGACCTTATCACAGGAGAATTTTTGTTAGACCTCAAGTACGTAGATGACAGTCGTGTTAGGTGAAGGCGCCAACAAGATGCAGTCTTCTGGACACCTTGAGCAGCAATTTGAGAATGCTTGGGATGCGTTTCTCACCAGCCCAATGCAAATTGTTGCCCCACGACTCGTCTTCAGCGGTGCCCTGGCTAACGTTAGAGAATAAAGTGGTTGAGTGCCTTGGACACTTCACTTACCTAGGAAGTCGAATCAATTTTGGTGTGTTGGTCGGTGGCCCACGAAATCTCTGCACGGATACAAAATACTCGATTGGCTTTTATCAACTTACGCTTCCGCCGCGGTGTCCAATTGTCTATTAAGGGTCGACTGTACTGTACTGTAGTCCGCTCTGTTCTAGTGTATAGCTGTGAAGCATTAGCCTTAAAAATAGAAGACATGAGAAGGCTTCAGGTGTTTGATTACCGTTGCTTTTGTAGCATAGGCCGTGTTTCGTGGTGTAACGACGTAAGGAACGCAGAAGTCAGATGTAGAGTTTTAGGCAGGAGAGGTAAGACAGTTGACACGGTTGTGAACCTTCATCGACTCAGATGGCTGGAACATGTGTCAATGGCATCAATGCATGAAGTCTTTGACTGTTGGTTTGAGCCATGTAGGGCGATACAAACTAGCCGGCTGGGGTCCGTGGGACAAGAGAAACTAGTGGTTGGAGACTTTAGCTGATTTGTCTCAGAACCGATATCAGTGAAGTAGATGTATACATACATTATCCTCATTTTAACTGCTATACTGGATTCAGAATTTTTCATTCCTCCTTCCGCTTTTTTACTACTTCCTACTTCCTTTAGCCGATTTTTCTTTCTTCATCTTCTATTTTATTGTCTTGTTACTCGATGTATTGATATGAATTGTGGCAACTCGGACCGTTACTCAGTAATGGCTGGTCTTGATCTTGATGATGATGAGAAATTGGATAGTTTGTCCCTTCGCTTTCAAATCACTCTTCTTAGCATGGCTGGACCTTAAAGAAATCAGTGATCTAGTCAGTGTAGTTCTCATTAGCCATCGCACAGGCGAGCCTCACTTGTACGGGAAGTTGGGTACCGTGATCGGAGTCAACCCACCTGGGGTTATGCAACTTCACGGCTAGGTAAAGTAGTTAGTGCGAAGAACTGTTTGACAAGTAAGTGTGTTCCTTTGTATAAAACCTAATCAGTTACCACAATGATTTGCATTCAATGGTAGTTTTGTCCCAGTTTTTATTCTTTTAGTTTATGAAGTATAAATTCGTACTCAATAACATATGTTTGACTCGCTTATAGTATTTTGAGATACTAGTAATCTTTTCATCATTCAATATTGTGCTTACATTTTAGACAGGACCCATACGTTACTTTGAAAGGTCATTTGAAAAATGCCAGGTGGTTATCCTCCTGGTCTTCCGCCTGTTCATTCCAATAGTTGGATGTCTTCAAGAGTGTCTCCAAACATATCTGACCTAGTTCCTGCAGATGGAAATTGTTCATACGGTATTCACTGGGTCTGGGTTTCTATGGGACAATGTGTAATGGATGCTCGTGGTGGTTTTGCTCTATTCTGTGGATTTGTCTGCTTAGTTATTTGGATTGCAGTGGGAATACCTCAAATAATTGAGAATTTTCGAACAGGAATTCCAGACAAGGCTCTTTCATTTGGTTTCTTATCACTTTGGACTTTTGGTGATGTTTGCAACTTGATAGGCTGTTTTTTAACTCATCAACTCATTATGCAGGTTTGTTGAAACAGTTTCTTAAATTCAGAAAATCTTTTCTATCTGCATGTGATATGTTAATTGTAAAAACCTTGAACTACTACTCGTAAATATTCTTTTTCACTTAAGATGTATTAAATGTATGGCATTTTATTAGAGTATTTTAGTTCATAAGTCAAATGTAATTTTCTTGGCTTGCTGATAAGTGTGCTCCAACAGTTCAGTTACTTAACTTTTCACAGTTTCCACTCTCATACAATCCACCACAACTTGAGTACATTGATAAATACTATTGGCTTTTACATAACAAGTTTAACTGATAGCCTAGTATCTGAATCTGCATATTGAAATAATGCAGAATATTTGTAGCTCAGGTGGATCGTCTTGGTTGTATTGTTTTCTCTGAGTTGGGTTGTTTAGTCGTGTTGTTCAAGGTTTTATTGATCTGGTTGTCGAACTTTTGGATAGGGTTGGTTTCAAGTGGTTGATACACATTTTCGTCTTTGAGTAATTCCTCTGCCTTCTTGATATAGTCTTCTTTGTCCATGACTACTGTAGTGCGTCCTTTGTCTACTGGAAGTATGACGATATCTTTCCTATTTTTCAGTTTTTTTAATGTTTTCTGTTCTTGAGTGTTCATTTGAGCATGATGTCTCCTCTGTTCAGAGAACACAATACAACCAAGAATCTGCATATCTTTATCATGTTGCATCATTGTTTATCTTTTTTTATTTTATCAAGACAGAGTTATTTAAACGCCTACATGTTCACAGAGAAGCTTAAATTTTACTGTCATCATAAGTTTTGGGTAAATGATATTGATATATCCTAGTAGCAAGCAAAAAAACCCTTACAACTGCCCATACTTTAGTGTTATTGCTTGTATTACACTGTCGTTGATTGGACCGAATCGATCAGTCTCTCTTGGCATATCGGCTCCTATGCGGATGCCTCGGTATTGCCTGTCTTTTTAACCATGTATAGTAATGATGGGCAGTGGCTAGCGGTGGGATCCAGGATGCGCATTCGTCTTATTTGGACAATTAGATTACTATCTCATAATTTTGCCGCGGAAATTTCAAGTTTATAGCATATTGTGTTTAAACAGTCTAATAAAATCAGCTATTTTGGTATCCTTATATGTTTAAAAGAATACAGTTTTATAGTTGCATATAAATTCAAGTATAGGCGAAATATTTCTTCGTAAACCTATCTTATTTCAAACACAAATGGGTCACATATTGAAGATGAAAAATTTTAGAAAGCAATAAAAATCATGGTTTTAACTAGTAGGACTTTTATATGGGGATGCATTCAAATAAGCATTCATATCTAGTCTTCTTATATCCTCGCAAATAAAATGCAAGGAATAGTTACCTTCTTATATATATGATGGAGACTCGATTCTGATGCCCGTCTGATAATTTCACAGACTACTGAGTTATGTAGCCTGTCGCAACCTAGCAATGAAGATGCGACTAACTGATTGACAAAATTAACGTAGAACCTTGCACAGGAGTGCATCGGCTCAAGTTACTACACTTCACAGAGGTACAAAAACAACAGGTGGATAGAAAGCGAGTGATATCAAAGTAGAAGAAATAGTGTAGGAGAATAAAGAGTCTGAAGATAAAAAAGTATGAATATTCAGGCTTTAGAAGACGTCAAGGAGTGAATATATCTGCACCGTTGTGACCGATTTTCAGCCATTTCACTAAGTTCCAGTCCTCAGCTACTGATTCCTTTCGTCTTGAAGACCACAACCAGGCAGTCTACCTCTCTCCAAACTGCTCAAGCCAACAGTCAGGGATTTTATGGACTGGTGTCAGGTCTTGGTCTGCCCACCAAGAACCCTTTTCCATCATAATCCAACTTCTAGCATGGTACGTCGAGGTAGGTGGTAACTCGGGCATGCACAGTACATGTCCAAGCCATCTCAGTCGACTAACATTCACAACCTCATCAATCGACTTGGCTGTCTTACGTAGTACCCTTCGTCTGACCTCAACATTTCTCACATGGTGAATCCACCACACACGACCAATACTACGAAGAAACCTCTGGTCGAAAAGCTGTAACTGTTTCATGTCTCCTACCTTGAAAGATCATGTCTCACAGCTGTACAAAAAAAACAGAACGGACTGTAGTGCGGTATATTTATCGTTTGATAGATAGCCAGATATCTCGCCGATGCCACATGTGAGGTAAGTTGGTGAATGCCAAACGGACCTTCTGTTTCCGAGCTGAGATTTCGCTATCAACTAGCTCGTTTGCGTTGATGCAACTCTACAAGTAAATGAAGTGGTCGACAGATTCCATCACTTCACTCCATACCATTAAGCTGCGAGTCGTTGCACAACAGTCCTGTAGCATCATGTTACATCTGACAGGTGTGAAACATATGTCAGCCAAATATACACAGATTTCTGCTCAAGGCTTTCAGAAGACCCTACGTTTTGTCAGTGTCTTCAACTGGTAGGACAATATCGTCTGCATATTCCAAGTCAACTAGATGACCTCCAGAGAGTAGATCACTCCCTTTAAGACTAGACAAACCTAAGGTTATGTCCATTCGCACATGTACGACGAAGCCAAATAAGAAAGGTAACAGTGGACCTCCTTGCGGGACACCACTAGTTGTTCTCAACTCACTTGAAAACTCTCCATTAGCCCTGATACAACTGGATGAGTTCGAGTAGGTGATGTCTTGTTATATCCCACCAAAGCTGTTGTTGGATGTTGATTTTTATTCACTGAATAGTCTCGTCTACATTTGTTTCAGATGCAAAGGATTGTTCAGTGTTCACAAAAAATACTAACACTTCTTCTTTAAGGAAAACATTGAGACAAAGCTGAAAACTAGTCAACATCATCGGTGAGGAAAAATTTAGCTTTGGAAATTCCGAATCAAAAGAATATATATTGAATTGTTAAAAATCCAGGTTTTCGCAGACAGAGTATATCATGACAGCGAGGTTTGAAATTAGACTTTCCTGAGGTGTGTCCCATTGATCTACACATTGAACTTTTAAACAGTGAGTTATGGGTTCGAGTCCCGCTCCACCTGCAGAGGTTTGAGTAGCCATGTAGTATCTGCAGGCTTCAGACAGTAGATGTAGTGCATTGCATATCGCATGCATGTGGATGTGGTTGCTGAGTACATTTTGATTTGATTCATAACAGTGTCGAAGGTGACATTTTTTACAGACTAGTTTTATCTTCTACACACCTGTAAACACTGTTAACCATTCAGATACCCAAACATCACGATCATCCATAATGGTTTATCATTGAGGCTAACGAAGAATTTAACTTTGACTATAGGAATTTTACTCGGATACTAAGAAATATATGTATGGTAATACTAGTTAGTAACTGAGCAAATGCTCTATGAATAGGTTGAATATTTTTTCATGGTATGATGTGATTTTGGTGCTTCACATTATAAAGTATTTCTGCGAGCAGCAGATTTTCATCGTCCCAGTATGTATCCATTGAAGGCGAAATTCAGTAAATTTATCTAACTAGATTCTTAGTTCTGAAATAATAACGACCACTAGTTGTGTTTCTCCAATCTACCATAGACACTTTTCACATCTGTTAGTTTAAACTCCAAAAAGGTATCAAATCTATTTCATCTTGTTGAAATATACAATAATTGTCAGTCAGTATTCGTAAATTCAATGAACAAGGAAATATTTGTTGAGAGTTGTAAAATATTCTTGAAATGGCGGCATTTTGCTAGACTTTCCGGACCTTTGTTTATATCACGATACGGCTCAATGGTAAGGTGCTGACCACGGGACCTAAAGGCCCCGGGTTCGATTCCTGGCGGGATCGTGGGTGCGCACTGCTGAGGAGTCCCATACTAGGGCGAAACAGCTGTCCAGTGCTCCCAAATTTCCTTTTTTCCTCCAACTGATGTCAGTCTACGATGAATAACAACTTGAAATATTTCCAAATCTCCACAACTCCCTCAAAATTTGTTTATATGTTGAGATGTAGTGTAAAAACCCGTCTTTAATAATCGCTTTTCATTTTATTCTATGTATGCAGTTTACTGTTTGACCTTCTATCCCAATTTAAGAGCCACAAGCCTACCAGTGTATTTTTATTTGTTTACAAATTACCTATACTTTACAGATTGTTGTAACAGGCTACTGTATTGTTAGCGACTTGGTTCTTGTGTTTCAATTCATCTATTACAAACTTCGACACCAGGCTATTTTACGTCGTAAGTCGTTTTTTGGTGATGAGAGATACTCTATAAGCATTAGTATTCTGGTTGTTTCTGTATAATGTGACCTATCCAGAATACTACTGTAACAATAAGTTTGTGGAGACTTAGATAAATGCATATGTTGCTATGTTTACCATATTTGAGCACATCAATCGGAAATAGGAATTCAACTAAGAATTCGTATGAAGTCTGGTGTTTCGGCTTAACGGTTTAACACTGGCTCCAGTTTCAATTTGTCTGATCCACAATTTTTTTTAACAGTATGTATGGAGTGATGAATATGTCTATGAATGTTTGTAAATGGAGCAAAGTTTAAACGTTTGACCAATTGATAAGAATATTTCAAAACCGCTACCACTAGACAATGGAAGCAGCCCGTAGTATTTCCATAACTGAATCCGTAGTTCGATGAATATCATCCACTGTTTACAATAACTGTGTATTGAAAGTGTTTCCTGCTTACCTCAGTTCATATTCTGTATGACCGAAATAAATTTGACTAGTTGAATTGCGTAAAGGTAAATTTGTTACAAGATATTTCCTTACAAAGCGATTGATTCACTAAATTGTGCACTAGTGAACTATAAGGAATCCAATTTTTATCAGTTATATGATGTAAAACACGACGAACATGCTCACTAAGGGATGCACTTATAGAAAATAATATAGCAACACTAAAAAAAGAGCTCTTTAAAAGAAAGAAGAAAAGAAGAACGGAGCAAAACCAGAAATAAGCTCATACAAAGGCAGTCTCAAAGGTATGCACAAAGAAATATTGGCTAACTCCATTTTACTTTTCAATAGTAGAGGAGACAATAGAGCTGCAGCACTCACACTGTTGCTTGGCTGCTATCTTCTCTAGCCATGAAGTTGCGTAATCTCTCAGACTTCATCCAAAAATCATTTGGCATAAACAGTTGTAAACCATTACAACTACCTTTTTTCTCGTGGGGCAGCTTCATACACTGACCATCTCTTCGCTTCTTCTACCAATCCCAAGGTTAGCGAATCGCGAACAAAATGGGAGCAGCCGGACATGAATTCGTTATAGATATCTAAGCCAATGAAGTCAGGGCTTCAAGATGACGTCGTTTAATGAGTGGTGATATCCATCACACCAAAACACCCATTAACTCACCTCAAAATCGTTCACATGGTGTTTCCACTGGATACGAGCAGTTCTTCGTAGATCACTGGCTAAACACATAATTGTCAGGCTTTCTAATTTTGGACAAGCCAGGTTTCGCGGTCATAGAACGGACAAGCGCATACCGTACTTACGGACACTGATGAATGACTGAATAGTAGTCTATATGTTGTCACAAAGTAGAACAATATCGTCTGCATACTCGAAATCGGAAAGTCTTGTATCTGATGGCAAATCTACACCACCACCACTACCATTCGTCTCCTAAAAGGGCTGTCTCAAGAATGTCATCGATTTGAAGAGGAATGACGAAATCGGACAGCTCTGGCAAACAGAGAGACAAAGTCAACATAGAACTTGGCTTTACTGATTAATGGTCCAAGTTGTCACATCCTATGTCAGCATATCAAACGAGGATGCATTCTGATCAAAGAATAAGAAATATGTGTTTGAAATCATTAAAAGAGGGCAAGAGAGAATGAGAGAATACTGAATTTTAGTTTGACGATTAAGATGAAGATAGTTTCTAGATACAAATGCGCAGTGATATCGATTTTGAACCATATCACCTACAGCCTCCAACCATCGACTTCACCTGTCACACGGACTCCAACTGGGAAGTCTATGTCTTTTGCACGGCTCGGACCAATGATGAAAATCTTTAGGCGCGGGTGCCATGTTCTACTCTGACCACCTCTAACCCTTTTCTAGCTAACATCGTGCTACCAGACAGACTGTGACTAGGTATGCAGCACACATACCTCAGGCACTTGAGTCGATGAAGGTTCACAAACTAATTCATCGATTGGCTTTATGTTTCTCTCTAAAACTCTACACCTGACTTCCACGTTACTGACTTGGTGACATTACGACACATGGTCTTTGCTGCGAAGGCAACGGTGATTCGACACCCGAAACCTTATGTTCTCTATTTTTAGTGGCCATGTTTCACAGCCATGATGTAGAACAGATTTAACTTCACCACAGTACACTGGACCATTTAATATGCAATCGGACATCACGGTGATGGTACAGATGGTGAGAGCCAAGCAAGCCTTTCGCATCCGTGCGCAAATTTCGTTGACCACTGGTCCACTAAGATTATCCAATTTCCCAGGTAAGTGAAGTAGTCAACGTGCTCAACCATTTCACTCTCTGTTGTTAAACAAGGTACCACTGAAGACCAGTCCTGGAGCAAGCGTTTACATTTGGTGGTGGGAAACTCATCCCAAACATTCTCGAATTGCCGCTCAATGTATCCAGAAGACTCTGCATCTTGTCAGCGTCTTCACCTAACAGGACCATGTCATCTGGGTTCTCTAGACCTACCAAAGGTTCTTCTGTGACAAGGTCAGCTCTGTAAAGTCAGTTGGCGAGACGGAGATCTCCACAAAAACGTCTATGATAAAGTTGAATGAGAATGGAGAGGGTGGACATCATTGATGGACGCCGCTAGACGTACACAACTCACCTGATAATTCGCGATAGGCTCTAATGCGCCACGGTTGTTCGAGTAAAGAGCCTTCAACAGAGTATGTACTTACTCGCACCCCTTTCAATGAGATACACTGCCAAAAGATCTCATAGTCGATGGAGTCGAATGACGCCTTCAGGTCTAGAAATACAGCTTTTATTGTGTGTCAATGAGTACGCCTGTGTTCCAGAACCTAAAGAGGGGGATAAAATGTCTGGTCAATACACCCACAACCAGGTGTAAAACCTGCCTTCTTTTCTCGAGTTTATTGTTCCCAAACTCCGCTCAGAAGTTTGATTATTATAGAACCTAGGATCTCAGACACTATGTTCGTCAGACTGATTCCCTTGTTTTTTTACAAGAGAATTTCTCACCTTTCTCGATAACTGAGAGGGTTAGTGATTGAGATTAGTCAGAGTGGATCACATCTGACTAACACTTCAATTAATCCACTGACCTTTCTGTCCCAGTTTTCTTGATAAGTTTGAATTGCTATCTAATGTTACCTATCGCCGCTGCCTTTTTCCTCTCTTTAGGCTTCGCTACCCACCACCGTTTGTAGTCATTGCATAGACTAATTGTTAGTCCACATTTGAGTTACTTCCGCCCCTCATTGTGCTTGTAGCCTACAGGGTTGCGTTCACGTGCATCCATTAATTCAGAAGAAGCTGCTTAGACCACTGGCTTTTTTTTAATAGATTAGTTCACAGCATAACTCTGTTCGGTGTATCGAAAACAGGATGATCAATTTGGAAATGTTTTACAAATAGCCCGTTGCATGTTGATGTTTTTCACACTTCAGTACCTTTTCAACTACCCAACCGTGGTATCGGCAGAATTTTTGTTGGAAAACCACCTGTTAACCGAGATCACAAGGTGTGGTCTCTGCAACAAAAGTTTCATAAACCCCAGGGAAATATACTGCTGAGCCAAATGAGCAGCTAGAAACTGCTAAGGCTGATCTGTAGGTTTAGTCACTTAGATCAGAGTGATCTAACCACCGAGTAACTATTTTACTCGTTTGGGACCGAGCCATTAGTGTGTGCCCGGACAAATTCAGATGACAGAGACAAATTGTTCAGATAACCTGAATCTAGTTAGCTGACTTAGGTGAATCGGCATGTTTTAAAGAGGATGAACAGTTCCCAAATGATTTTGTCTTTTCTATGTTGATCTGCACAAATTGGCTCTGTGAACTGAATTTATCCGAGCACACTGCTAATGAGATTGGCTCTAGACGGGCAAATGCACCATCCGGCATTTATATCATTCTGATATGGCTCGAGAAATCTGCAGATCACCCTCAGTGGTTTCTAACTACTCAATTTGTTCAGTATTAGTATATTTTGAATTGAAAGCAGCTCTAATATAGAGAATTACAGTGATCTCTGTCCTCCAATTCATGTGACGGTATTCGAGCATCTGGCGAAGAGTGAACACGTGATCAGTGGATTTACGACTTGAACGAATCCTGGCCTTGCTCCTCACTGATCACTTTCTCACCCGCTTTGCATAACCTACAAAACACGATAGCAGCTGATATTTTCGACGTTACTGGTATTAAATTCATACCTTGATAACTATGTTATATATTAACTTCATAGATTGGTACAACAACAGATTCATTCTAGAGTGGCAGAACACTCAGTTGCCATATCTTCCCAAACAATGTTCATTTTCAGGGCGAGAGTCTCACATCCATTCTTAAGAAGAGCTAAGGGTGATTTATCTAGCTTGGGCGCCTTATTCTGCCCTGGTACATAGAGTTCCTCACGGGTCTACGCTTCATTAGAAGTTTCAGTCTTAAGTAACTTGAATAACAAGATATCGGAGTCTATTTCACTGCAGCAATAGGCTACCTGAATTGTATTAAAGTTCTCTACCCTGAGTGTTCTGGGTATATATATGACATTTGGTGGTCTGCGTACCATCTACTTCACAGCATCAGTGCTCATCTACAACCTTACCACGGCTTGAGTCAAGAACCGTCAGTTCTTGTGGTGAGGATGTCACCGTTCAGTCACTGGGTCCGAAACCCATCTGGAGGTTTGTTAGAATTGACTGATTTCAAGGTAGTATTCATCATGGACTGACATCATTTGGAGAACCATTGAAAACCTGGTAGCACTGGACATGTTTCGTCTTAGTAATAGGAAAGTGTGGATCAGAACTTAATGATCTTCGATCTATGTTGGGGTCATGGGTGTGCACTACTGGAGAATCTTCTACTAGTACAAAACAGCCCTCGAGTTCTAGGTTTTCAATCGCTATCAAATTGATACCAGTCTATGATAAATGCTACTTTGAAATCAATCGATCTCCACAAACTTCTAAGTTATAAAAATATTATGTATGCCTAGTATGAAGCAAACGTTTATCAGTTTAACTTCTCACACTGTTTTACATAGTAGGAAAGTAAGTAAAACGGAAGTAATAATGTGGCCAAATGGTGAGGGTACAGTTGATTGAGGTTGTGACTCAGTGGTTTGGGGAGATGACTGCCAATCAGTAAGCCGCGGTCCGAATCCCGCTCCAGCTTCCGTTGTATGAGCAGCTAAATAGTACCACTTGCCCTCTCACAATAGGTATGGGCTTGTTGTCTACTGCATGGTTGTACACAAGGTGGCTGAGTTCGTTGTAACTAATTACACTGCAAAAAATCTAACAAATGGCTGAGTGATAGCAGCTACTTTTGACTGATGATCGAGTTTGTCGTCTTTGGAAGCCTTGTTTTGCCAGAGAGATCGGTTAGATAGTTGTAAGGTCGATAGTAGCCACCGTTGTATCACACATAATATGCACTGTGATGAGGGGTCTGATGAAAAAAATTGCACTGTTGACTGAACAGAGATATGATTATAAAAGAGGGTTTCCTGTGGAAGATTATTGTTCTCAACTATAGTGTGGGCACGATGGGTTATGAAAGACCATCCTTAAAACTTCAATTTTCCATCTCATGAAGTAGCTGTTTGAGAAACAAGTCCAACTGTACAACTGACTGAAGTAGGAAATAGAAACCATTGGATTCTGACTCAGTTGCCCAATGGTAACATGCTAATAGCTGGACATGAAGGTCCTGGGTCCGATCCCTAGTGAGGTGGGGTCATGGGTGCGCACTGCTTGCTGAGGAGTCCCATACTAAGATGAAGTGGCTGTCCAGTGCTCCCAGGTTCCCAACTGGGTTTCTCAGCCTAATGTCAGTCCATGATGACTACCAACCTGAAATCAAATAAATCCTTACAAACCTCCAAAATGGTTAGTATTAAGCACACACAACATACCCAACACTATACGTAGTGCAAGAATATCGAGTTAATCTTTGTCCCATCGGTGATTACGTTCGATTGGAGTTTCTTGTTTTCTTTGGGTTCGGTCATCTCTTCCTTTAACCAGCAACAATCCTTTTAGAAAAGCGTATTGAGATCGAAATGCACTCAGCAACCAAGTACACATTCGTGCAGAGACAATGAACCACATCTCTTGTATCAGAGCTGATGGTAATATCTAGTTGCCCACACTTCGGTAGGTGGAGCTGGGTTCGAACGTGTGACAAGCTGGTTGAAAGTCAACTGCCTAAACCAGTGAACTACAGCTCCACAGAGGATAGTAAGCATATTCAGGGAACAGTGAAGATCGTATCGATAGAAGACAGTCATTTAAAAAAGAGATCTACTTATCTGATCCAAATTCATCTACCCTCAAATGTATATTTCCCTTTTATTCTAATTCCTTTAATAGTCCATGAACTTTTTTTTTGTTTAGTGTGGTAATTCATATTTGTACGTATTTTGTGTACATCTTCATTTCGCTATAGAAATGGCTACCATCTTGAAAGAGGGTCAAGTATCTCCCGTCAGAAGTGCTTCACCTACTAGTTCTGATGACTTAGAACAAACTGACAGACCTGAAGAACATCGAAGACTTCCTGTTTCTTTTATTGGTGTAACAGGGTTAACTTTGGCAGCTCTTACAATAACCTCTATCGGAAGTTTATTCGATATTAATATACCTCAACAACAGATCACTGGTAAAATCCCCTACCAATCGAGAAGACTATTGGAATGGAAAGAATATGAGTTGAGTGATACTAGAATACTGGATTCAGACCCTTTAGATGTAAGTTTTCTTGCTGAATTGACAGTAAAACAAAAGAGAAATGCGCAAAGAGGGTAAATAACCATTTTAATGCTTAACTTTATTAGAATCCAAAAGGCAATAAGAAAAAAATGTTACAGGAAAGCATGTTACAGTTGTTGCAACTGTGCGTATTTTTCTATACTTTGGAATCAGTTATATGTCTTTCTTGATATCATATACTCGTCACACAGTGGTAGTTGGTGGACTAAGATTTCATCAATGAATGGATCTTGTAAGATCTGGTCATATTCAAAGTTGTCTCTTTCACTACTTCTCTGTCTTTTCAGTGTATCATCTTTATGTCAGCGCATGTAGAAACTTATTTGTATGTTATACATCGACATTAAGAAGGAAATTTATACTTGTATACGCCTCGCAATCCCATTCATAAAGCTGATAATTTTGATGGATTTATTGAGGGATTTGATACCCACACTGTGTTAAATGTTTTGCTGGACCAAGATGTTAACTCTATGGCATTTGAAGCTTTTTGATGACTGTTCAGGTATGATGACTTACAGGTTGGTATTCATCAAAGACTGACATTAGTTGGATGAACATTGAAAACCTGAGAGAACTGGACAGCTTTTTTCTCCCAGTATGGGACTCTGCAGTAGTGCGCACCCGTGATCTCGCCCCACCAGGCATCGAATCCAGCACCTTCATGTTCCGCTGCCAGCATATTGTTATCGAGCCATTGGGTCGAAATTCAGTGGTCCATATTCCCTACTGCTATCAGTTCACGATATAATGCGACCTCCATCCAATGTCTTCGTTGAGTTACTGTCCTCGTGTTCGACTTGGTTGACCCTACCGACCATGACTTCTCACTGGGACTTCGAGAATCACCTCTCGAAGCTAGTCACCAATGAGCACTAGGTTAATCCATTCCATGATGAATACCAACCTGGAATCAATAATTCCCACAAACCTCCAACCTGAATTAATCGAGTGTTCATTAGTGACTAGCTTTAAGAGGTGATTCTCGAAGTCCCAGTAAGAAGTCGTGACCGGTAGGGCCAACCAGTTCGAACATGAGGACAGTAACTCAACGATGACATTAGATGGAGGTCGTATTATATCGTGAACTGATAGAAGTAGGAAATATAGACCATTGGATCGCGACCCAGTGGCTCAGTGGTATCGCTCTGGTCCTGGGTTTAGTCCCTGGTGGGGCAGGTTCATGGGTGCGCACTGCTTGCTGAGGAGTCCCATACTAAGATGAAGTGGCTGTCCAGTTCTCCCAGGTTTCCAATGTTCCTTCAGCTAATGTCAGTCCATAATGAGTACCGACCTGTATTCAATAAATCCCCACTAACCTCCAAATTGTATAATGACTTTGCCTAAATTAAATGTCCGTTTCATCGCTCTTGTCTTGTTGAAAAAACTTCCATAGTTCAGTTACTCATATCTAGTTTTCTCTGTTTGTATCTAGGTAGGTATTTTCATGAAGCTTTGCGACAGGCAGCTAGGTATGGGTATGATTACAACACTCGCGTCATTTCCGCTTAGTTTCATTTATTGATTTGTATAAAAGTGATACTCTCCACTTACCTTTACCTGATCAAACCGATTGTAATGTTAGTCCTCGCACAGCAATTGTAGTGCATATACATAGTACAAAGACCTGTACGAGGTTGAGTGGGATTATTTTTTCCTGCTACTGTGGAAATAAAAGCTCACTGAAGTACTTTTAAAAAGTTATTAGTTGTTATAATTAGTTCATAGTACGTAACGGGTTATTACACGGGATACAAATGTTTTTTGAAGGTTAACAACATAATGTGGAAAACAAGACTGATAAGGGCCGATGGAATTGTCTATTAAGAAATCACACTGAATGTTGCTTAAAGTAGTAGAACTCTTTACTCATGCCAATAATATATTCACTCGGTGTTCCAGATGAAGTCCTATTTTCTCTTCGTTTGTCTTTTGTACCTCCTTCCGATATTTCGTTCTTTTCCCCAGAATCTCTGCTGATTGTATGTCAACTCTAACTACGTTTTTCAATGGTACCGGACTTTATACTACCTATATGTGTTCTTATAGATAGACAGACAAAGTTAACGCGGAACTTCAGACAAGTACATCGGTTCAAGTTTCCATACTTCACCATAGCATGCAAAGAACAAGTGGTTGGAAAAAGACTGGTATCAAAGTAGATAAAGGTATATTGGAGAACAGGGAAATTGAAAGTCAAGGTTAGTGACAGTGTTCAAGCTTTATGAGTCAGGGGACAAAGAGTGAATACATCTGCACCATTTTGACTGATTTTGAACCATGTCACCAAGGGTCGCCAACAATTGATTCCTATCGTCTTGAGGACCCTAACCGGCTAGTCTATACCTCCGTACACAGGTGAGTTCGATAGTCAGACACTTCGTGAACTAATACCGCATCTTGGTCTGGCCATCCTAAACCCTCTTTCGACCTAATTTAACTTCCCGCAGGATGGCACGTTGGGGTAGAGGGTGGCTTGGCATGCGCAACACATGTCCGAACCACCTCAGTCAATGAAGGTTCACAACCTCATCGACCAACTTGCCTATCCTACTTACTATCCACCTGACCTCGACACTGCTCACATGTTGATATCACCATACGCGAGAAATGCTATGAAGATACCTATGGTCACATACCTATAACCTCTTCATATCTTCTCCTTTCAACGGCTATGTCTCACAGTCGTATAACAGGGTAGGATGGACTGCAGTGCAGTATACTGGTCATCTAATGGGTAACGGGATATCTTGCCAGTCGGTGCCATAGGTGACGCAATTTGGCGAGTGTCAAACAGCTCTTTCGTATCCGAGCCGAGGTTTTGTCAGCAACCCATCCGTTCGGACAGATGCAGCTCTCAAGTTTGTAAAGTGGTCAACACACTCAACCTCTTGACTCACGATCTTTAGGCCAGTGGCTGCAGATCAGTTCCGAAGCATCACCTTACATTCGACAGGAGCAGAATGCGTTCCAAACATACTCAGATTTCTGCTCAGAGTGTTCAGAAGATGCTACCTTTTCTCAGCGTCTTTGCCTAACAGGACAGTGTCATCTGCATACTCCAAGCCAATCAGGTACTCCCCTGGAAAAGGTCAATCCCTGTGAAGTTAGAGATATTTCAATTATGTCTACTACTATATGTATGACGTAGTTGAGCAAGGACGGTGATAGTGGACATCCCTGGTGGATACCACTAGTTGTCATCTATTCTGTTGACAACTCTCCATAAACCCTTACATGTCTGCATGAATTCCAGTTGGGAGCTTTGATGAGCATTATATACTCGGTAATGGTGGATAGTAGCTAGCAGTGGAATCTAGGACCCTTGTTTCCTCCTATTTGGTACCCGTCAGCTGGATGTACATATCTTCCAGTGAGTGATGTTGTTTCCATCAGAACTTGAACCCGGGACCGGTCGTTTCAAACGCGACGGCGTTTTTCACTTGGCCACCGAATCACAATACCCACTTACCAGCATAGTTGTACACTTGCTCGGAATTTCCTTCACAGTCAGAAATTGCCATAACACCCCACGGTCTACAGAGTGGAATGTCATCTTCAAATCAAGAAATATGGTAATTATTGGCGGCTAGTACGTATGTTTGTGTTCCGAAACCTGTCGAAGGGTGATAATCTAATGGAGACACCCTCAACCAGGTCTGAAACCTGTCTAATCTTCTTGATTCTGGTGTTCTCGAGCTTCAGTTAGTCGTCAGATAACTATGGCCCAAAGTATCTTGTAGATGATATTAATCGAACTGGTTCTCCTATGGTTGTCACCCAAGAAAATATGAGAATGGATATCAGTAGTGCATAGTGCGAAATCAGGAAACAGAATAATGGTAACGATCGTATGGTGAAGATTTAGCAAGAAAGAACATACAATATGGAATAAAAATATGGAGAGAAAAACTCCGTTCACTAGGATACCGAAAAATTGGATTTTCGATTATGTGAGCTTATTGTCAAGTTTAATATCTTTATCATTATCGATTATAATTCTCCAAATGAACATACGCTACCCAATGGTACTTCGCTTGAATTACTCTCACTGGAGTAACAAGATGTAACTTCTGGAAGATTGTGTTTGGAACACACTAATAGCTGCTCTTGAGACTTTTTGTTCAACGTAGGAAGTAGTCGATGTAATATATTGGTTAGCATCAGTGGGTCTCTATCCGGTTCCAACTTCATACTCTGGAACTGCCCATTGCTGCTTTGTATCTACTATACTGTAATCTCTTCCACCAGCCATTTCAGCACAGTCTGCCTCAGGGCCATCTTATCTGCACTTTTCATACTGTCGCATATCACTTTCATTCGACTCTGGAGCAGCGTTCCCAGTACGACCATCTTCGCTACAGCTTATAGGTTCTACAGGAAGCCCCTGATGATACCCTCCTTCTGAAACACTTCAGGCCACGCTATCTTCATCTGGTCCAAAGGCTACTACTCCAATTGAAGAGGGGTTCTACCGAGCAGCACACTTTATTTCTGAAAATTATCGTCAACAATGATAAAAATATTAAAGCTTACAACAAGCTCACGTGAGCAAACATCCTCCCCCTCGCATCCTAGTATGCAGTGTTCCCTGCTTGCTTATACTTGATATTGTGTTTTCCAGTGTCATGATATATACCATGAATATACATTTTCATAGTGAACACTAGGTTCACCACAATCCTATTAACGTCATTCTTATTTTAATAAACGTGGAACACCTGAGTACTTTTATATCTAAAAATAGTATAATGAATGTTTAATTTTAATGCGTGTATGATATTTGCCTGCATACTCATTTCACGAGTTAAATGTTTCACTACATGTGCTATATTATCTCGCCACTCTTATTTTCTTTCCCTAGGGGGTAGTCACTAAAGTGGGTTATACTCTTGGATGGATTTCTACATGTTTGTACCTGTTTTCCAGACTACCACAATTATTTCGCAATGTATGTCTAGTTTTTTCAATTTATAGAAGTTTTTCTGTTAACTGTTACTTCTAAATTATTTAACGTATGCACAGATAATTGAATCTAAAAGTCACTCTAGCGACCACTGAAATAACAACTTAGGTCTTCGTATTCTGGCTGTAAAGATAGTTTTTGATCAAATGATCAGGCCTTCTCGGCTATTTCCATAGTTACCAGGGCATCCTCTAGGGTAATTCCAAACAAATCTGTATTCTTACTGTCTACGATTGTTATGGTTAATAGATTTCTGTATCATTTGTGGATGATTCGGATAAAAGGTGCTGAGAATTCTGGGTTATTTCAAATTTCCGTTAGGAGATCTTTGTGACACTAGTCGAATGCTCTGGCAGCTAAGGTACAAAACTCGAAGGTTAGCCTGATTTCTGTTCAGATGTAAGTTAAGCGTCTACTGGGTAACATTTCAGTTCAGTCCCGCATCAAGTTATCCACCAACTCCAGTCATCACCTTCACACTGTATACGTTTATTGCTGTTGGAAGCAGTTACCAGTATAAGGGCGACTGGCTATGTAAAGTGTACTTTGTCTGTTGACATATGGGACGAGACATCCGTGAGGTTTACCACCATCCAGTGAAAAATTATGTACATCTCAATCTATCGGTCAGTATATTTTCCTATAATTTCTGTTTATTTTAAGTTTCGTGGCCACTGTCACCGACGTGTAGCAAACTGATAGTTTAAGTTTCATGGGTGATTATCTATTTGACCATCGCATTTTATTATCCGTTCAATCAGTCATCCAATATTTCTATGTAGACAGTTGTAGATAATAACACTGATGGATCGTGGAGATAATTATGAGAGCTGAATGGAAAACTGCTCATACCTGAGAAATGCAACCACATTTACACACTATGTGTGTTGGTCAGTACAAGTCCAGGAAAAGTAACTGAAAAGACGTGTAAGGACTTGTGGGTGAAGATGACATAAGTGTTGCTACTAAGTCGGGGATAATGACAATTATTTGGTGGAATTATTTAAATTAATCAAAAGAGGTTCATAATAGTAGAAGTAATCTGAAGGATCTCTTTTTCAGTATATAACTGTGCATTCACACTGTGAGTTACATTGTAAGCTGTGGCTCATTGACTTAGGGAGTTGATTTTCAACCAATGGATTCGGGTCCCGCTCCACCTATTGAGACTTAGGAAACTATGTAGTTTTACTAGCCCCCACACAATAGGTGCCCCTTGTTGCCTACTACACAAATGTACAGAAGGTTGCTGAGTGAATTTTGATTATGAGTTACTGAGTTTCCTATGAAGACTGTAATGATTCTTTAAAAAGATCCATTGTCGAATCATTCAGATTTGTAGCGTATTGCAGTAGTGTAGTGTATTTGATTAGTATATATTTCTTATGCACAGTCATCCATTCAAATGTTGCAAATACGATGGGTAGTCAATCTCTCCTCGAGAACCTTAAACTCAACTGCGACGAACGTACTCGAAACAGGACTAAACTTCAACGTGACAATAGGTCATCTAAAACCAGAAAATATCATACCTAGCACAGAAGTAGCGTTAAGCTCGGTGGATGCAGCAACAGCTGAACAGGTTAGAGCGCAGTGTGCGTTAACACTGAAAAGACAAAAGAAGAGACAGCGAAACTGAACAAACTTGAAAATTCACCTCTGAATAATCTATGCAATGACAATAATGTAGTAATTGTTAAGTCTCATAAAGGCTATTCAACAGTACTTATGGACAAATTGAATTATTTCAACAAAATTGAGAAACATATCCAAACAGGGACCATATGAAGAAATCAAGAAGCCTTTAGACGCGGTCATGAATAAAATCAGGAAATCTACAGCCGATCTGATATACCAACTGAATGGTTTAATTTAATGCCTAAAACTAATAATTCTAGCAGAATTTATGGCACTATAAAGGTTCATGAACCAGGTTATCTCATTAGATTCATAGTTGACTGCGGATGGAAATGTTATTGAATACAGTGAATTTAATACGATCAAAATAGTTTTCTCACTATTCAAATCAGATATCAGTATTGTTGGTCAGCTGTAGAAGCAATTATAAAGAGTTATTATTGGTTACGAATATTTATTTGAGTATAACCAATAAAATCGTTGTGCACAGAACACATTACCAGTATTTTTGAGATGAATAGGGATTTTTAATTTAGAAGTAGTATTCATCATGGACTGACATCAGTTAGGGAACCATTGGAAGTCTAGGAGTACTGGACAGCTGTTTCGTTCTAGCATGGGACTCCTCAGCAGTACACACCCACGACCCGGGTGGGATCGAACCCAGGACCTCAGGCTTCACGGCGAACGCGTTAACCATTCATTCACTGAGTCGGTTTTCAGTGGTTCACAATTTCCAACTTTGTCAATTCATGACATAGCATGACTGTCACCCAAGGTCTTCAGTTAGCATCGACTTCACTTCCGACTGGTTGACTGCACAGGTCACGGCTTCTGATCAGAGCTTCGTGATATCCATCTGGTGCGTACTGCTGAATAGTCCCATACTAGGACGAAACAGCTGTCCAGTACTCCTAGACTTCAATGGTTCCCCAACTGATATCACCATGATGAATACTACTTTTAAACTATCAGTATGTTAGTGCACAAATTACTCATTAATAAATAATTCATATCCAAGATGTAAAGATAGGTGTTGAATTAACAAAGTGCTGAATGTATTCGTGTAATGTTTAAAATTAGTCAGCTGTCAGTCAGACTATTGGATTTACTTAGTTGATTATTGTACACAGTGATATAGTATTATTTACTGATGACATTTTGAGTACAGTTTACGGCTCATAGTCACTTCAAAGTATAATTCCATTGTAGTTCTTGTACTATATGTGTCGTACAGTAAAACAGTATTATTCACCTTAGGTTAGTTATTATAAGTTAGCGAGATATAATAATTATTTTTTATTTGTCCCTTGAGTTCCTAATGGAACATAGGGGTTCAGTAGCACGTCTCCAGTGCACTCTCTTCTCTACAATCTTTTGAACCTGGCTCCACGATAACACAGAATCTCTCGGTTTTCCCTCACGCTATTTCCTCCATGTCACCTCCGCCTCGGACGCCCAACTCGTCGTTTCCCATCTGGGTTCCACTCGAGTACCTGGCCTGACGCGTAATGTCCCCAGTCGATCTTCTCAGTGCATGCCCAATCCATCTCCACTTCCTTCCAGTGCATATTTGTTGAGTGATAGGTTCTTGATTGGTTCGTGCCAGCCAGCCAGCCACAGTGAGTTCCTTGTTGCTTATTCTTATTATTCTGGCAACCCATCAGATCTTAAGTATCGAGTGTGTGTAGGTGGCAGTTGTTGATGAATGTCTGTAGTTTGTTGGAAGTGGTTTTCATAACGTGCCAAGTCTCTGAACCATCACATAGAGCATGACTTGACTGAGTTGATGTTGAAAATCCGGATCTCGTTCTTTATGCTGAGTTCAGGAGATCTCCACACTGGTTCAGGCTAATGAACACCTGTCTTGCTGTGTTTCCGATCCTGGTTGGCTTTGACGTCCTCGTGTGTGCCGACTGTAGTTGAAACAGTGCTGGCTAGATAGGTGAAAGAGACAACTTCCTTTAATTTTCTCCGATTGATGGTGATTGTTGTTGTTGGTTGGGTATCTTCATCACCCCCGTCTTCTCTACATCACTTGAAGTCCATCTTCGCTGCCCTGCCTCACCTCTTCTGCCAACTTGTTAGTTTTTGCCTGTATATCTTGAAGTTTGTGTGACATTAGACATAATCATGATCGGCGAAATCCAAATGTTGTAGGTTGTTTTCCGTGGTCCATCCAGCGTATCCCCCTCTTCTGGCTCCTCACAGTTTGTTGCATGATCCAGTCGAGTTGAGTCGACCACAATGAGGAATATGATGGATGATAGTAGGTGGCAACCTTGTTTTACTCCTGTCTTCACTTCAAAGGTGTCACTGAGCTTCCCATTGTGATTACTTGGCATGTGGCGTCTTCATATAGTTGTTGAATGAGCGAGATATAAAAACCTTTCTAAATGTAAAATGCAAAATAGGAAATCCAGAAGATAGTTCTGCCATGGTCATGCATGCTCCCTCACACAATCACGCAACAGGATGAGGTAGAGTGACAATCCCAAGAAATAAGTTGGTTATGTAGAAAGAAATATTGGTAACTAAGGCTTTTTAAGGTAGTATTCATCATGGACGGAGATCAGTTGGAGAAACATTGAAAACCTGTGAACACTGGACACCTGTTTCTTCCTGGTATGGGACTACTTGTCAGTCTCCATAAACTTCAAAGTAGAATACTGTAAAGCGCTCATCAGAAACATGTTTCAAAATAGATATGACGAAATTATAATAAGAAGCCGTGACCTGTGGGGTCAATCAGTCGGAAGTGAAACGGAATGTCTGCTGAAGTGGATAGTCGCGCTATATCACGAATTGACAGAAGTAGGGAACTGTGGACGTTGAAATTCAACCTCGTGGCTGAATGGCTAACGCGTTCGCCGTGAAACCTGAACATTCTGTATATGTACTCCATACTGGAAAATTAGTTAGATTTTTCCCTGCAAGTGCTGTGCTATGGAATAATGGAATATTTACGTTTTTAAACGCTGTGAAACGAAGATGATATTCGTTAAACACATTGAAAATTAAATCAATCAATGAAGGTATATTGTGATTGTAGTGCTTTCAAAGAAGATTGAAGCAGTTAAACAGTTGTTTAATTCGTCTAAATCCATATGTCACATCATTTAATGATGTGAAGTTGAACCCTTAGTGAATATTAACTACCAGTAAAACAATCTAATTCGCTATAGTTGTCTCTATCTTGGCCAATAGCTGCTACCTTGGAATGGTAGTTGGGCTGGCATATCATAACAGCTCATCGAGCTACACTGGCTAAAACACTTATTCCCTCGAGGTCTTACCGTTCCAAAAAAGTTTGTTAGATAGTGGTAAGGCGAAAAGCAGTTACCGTTATAATGTAAATTACTACACTCTGATGGGCTTGGAGGGCAAGTCGTACTGCTGGCTGGATGGGGTGTGACAACAGTAGGGCGTTCCCTTGTATGATGCTTCCTTCCAAATGGGAAGGCGGGGTAGAAAAGGTCTTCCCGCATAACAGCACACTTCTCCTCTTCCGGTGACGGCGGTATGGCTTTCCTCTCTCAAGTTAGAACAAACAAACCTCAAAACAACAACCCGCGAAAGGCTGCATGTGACAAGCTTCGATCAGATGCCTCGTGGGCTCTGTGTTCACACAATTTTCTCTCTATGGGATGCTTTAAAAAGGAATAGCCTTCTACAATGTGGCCAGCCGGGAAGCGTCAACCACCCGTATGCTTCCAGTGGTATGCAAGACCCGATGAAACACCGCCTATCTTGTCTATCTTTCAGTTGTCTCCACCAACTGAAGTTGTTTTGATGAGGTTTGTAGTTTTAATATTTTATCATTAGTCTTATTGAGTGCCTAGCTTCTTTCATTAAACTCTGTTGTTAGTTCATCAGAATGATGAACTTGGTGTGGTTCCTACGGAGTCCCATAAATTAAACTTTTCGTATACACTCTCGGTTTGCATTTAGCTCACGTAGATGATCAGTAGTACGCAAAATTATTTGTGTCATGGACTCACATCTGTTAAGAATGATGTTTTGTTGTTATCTATCACCAAGTGTTCAACTTGCTAATCCTCTCGAAAAGTTGACAAAAATGTAACACATTGTATTCCAACCGCATGCTGCCTCAAAATAATTTTAAATAGCTAAAAAAAGAACCATTTATAAGTTGTGGATCTTTCGTTGGTTTGATTTTGTTTATATACAACACAAATAGGACGAAACGCGTGTCCTGGATTCCTCTACTAGCCACAACTAACCAAATTACCATAATTAACACTCAGGCAATATCGAGGCATCCGCATAGGAGCCCATATGCCAATAGAGATCGAACGATTTGATCCAATAAAACAACGGAGAATTACAAGTATATCAATAAATAGTAATAACTACTACTCGTTGTACAAGAAGTGGCTATCGTTCCTGTGTGGCAAAGTGCATAACAATTTGGCGTTTGAAGCGATGAGTACGAGGTTCGAGTCTCAGTGGGGACAACATCACTAGAGTGCAGGTACATCCAACTGACGAGTCCCAAATAGGATAGGGCGCGCATCCTAGATTCCTCTACTAGCCACAACTAACGAGATCACCATAATAGACTCAAAACTTAAAATTAAACTGTAAAATCAACAGTACATCAAGTTTCGGTATTTTGTTCTCTGCACTCAACGTGGTTTTTATTACTGACGTATCAATGTCATCCTAGACATCCTTCTTTGCGATTTGATTGGTGGTTTGAAGGAAGGTGTTGGTTGGTATCAAGGTCATTTTCAGCACTAATTGAAAGCAGTTAGAGAACTACTGAAAAATTAAGAGCACTGGACAGCTGCTTCGTCCTGGTTTGGACTCCTGAACAATGCATAACCAATAAACGTTTTTTCTTCTCAGCCATTGGATGCAAAAAACCACCGTATAAAATTATCGCATAAATTCATGTAATCATTGTTTTATCAACTAGTGATAGTCACTATTACTGGGAATGTGATGCTATCCAAAGGTAGACTAAAATAATACGATTCCGAACCTGTCAATTAATCATAATGCAGGAAACATCATGATGCTCACTTCCGCTATTTTTTTTGACTCTCCTAGCAAGTTGTACTCAGAGAGTCAGAATCAAACAAGAGGAACCAGAATGAATTTGTTGGTAGTCCTAATTAATAATGATGACCAGAGAGGATGGGGGGAGGATAAAACACCTGTAAGTTTTCACAGTATGAACATGTTGATAAACCATTGAATAGTCTTGTTCAACTGAATATGGATACGTGTAACTGAAAATTTCCCTCAGTCATGGAATAACGTCTTTTAGCAAACAATCAGCATTAGTATATGCACCTAAGTGCAAAATCATGAACTACAGGTTAAAAGTTGAAGATTTTAACCAATGGAACATAACTTTATGGTTCGACACTATGTAATCGAGTTTCGCCTAAATGTCATTTATTGCACAGTTAAGTGTTTTTTTTTTCGCTGACTTACTTTCCAGCACTTGATTTTTTCTTTCTGTATATATTCTAGTGGAAACGTAAATCTACTGTAGGTCTTTCATTATTCATGTTCTATATGACTGTGACGGGTAATTTGTCTTACGGTGCCCAAATCTTTCTATCATCCACTGAAAGAAACTACTTAATTCGAGCTGTACCATGGATAATTGGGAGTTTTGGAGTGGTTTTATTAGATATGTTCGTGAGTTCATTTACCGTTGTACACTTTAAATATTTCACCTTTTATTGATTTTAGTGTATATTATGTCCTCCTGATTGTGATGGCTGCTACTTTGCGTGGTGCTTGGGTTGTCATATCACTATGACCCAACAAGATATGCTGGTGGGACACTTATTCTCTTGAAGTCTTACTGTAACAAGAACACAGTTGACGACTGATGAGATAGTTCATCGAGAAATTGCATTAAATCTTGGTAAAATATGAAGACACTACGTTGAACACATTTCATGCAAATAGTCTGTGCATTCTACATCCGAGATGAGTCGGCCTTTAAATTTCATTGCTACGACACTTATCTTCTGTATTTCCTTCCTATGTTTCTCGTTTTCATCGTCAGAATCTCTACCAACCGAATGACAGCTTTACTTATTTCTCCGGGGGATATCATGCCATATACTATTTACATCTGTTTGTATAATTAGCTCACATCACATCACCATACCAGAAAGGTAAATTGGTAGTGGTAAGACAAAAATCAGTTACCATTATGATGTAAATTGCTAGGCTATAATGAGGGTCGATGATCGAAGTCCTACTGCTGGATGGCTGGGGTGTGACAGCAGTAAGATGTTCCTCGAAAGTGGTCAGCGGTACCATGTTCATGCTTTCTTTCCTATTAGAAAGTGGATTGGGAAAGATCTGTTTTGAAAACAGTACACTTTTCTTTACTCTGAGGCATATCGTTTCCGGTAGTATGGGTTCACAAAACAAACCAAACCATCCAGATTCTAAAAAAGCGATGTGTGACTGACCTGTTCAGCAGATATTTCTTGGTATGTGACGTCACCTATTAACCTTCATTTTTCAGGTGGCACTAGGAAAACTAGCTTTCCATGGTGTGGGTAATTGGGAGGTACCAATCACCTCCACAACTCTGTCAACACTCAAGTTCCCTGAAATCATTGTTTACCTTCCACATCCTTACCTTCTAATCTTTCGTCACTTCTTTCGGCCAATATTCCTTCGTCACCTTTAACTTTTTCAGCTCCGTAGCTCTTGACAATGATTTAAGAGCACGGAGCAGCCTGATAGGTCTGGTTGGACATCACTGTAGACTACATATTAGAGCTTTCAATGTCCGTACCCTCCTTCAAATCGGCCAACAAGCTTCACAGCTGAAACTCTAGCATCTTGGGCCATGAAAATGTGCTATATTTGTGAAACCCGCATATAGGACCCGTGTTTGGTTATTTCCTCGACCTCACCCGGCCAATATGATGGATCCTTAAAATTCACTCTTGGAGTTCCTGGAGATTCGATGGCTATTTTTCTCGATCTTACAGTGTATAGGTAAAGCACTAAGTACTATGAAGCAAGTGCATCGCTTAACTGGATCCCAGTTGATACTCCCTTATGTGCTGTCCGACTGAAGGGTGCAGTGAGAACTTTAAGGAATAGTAAAACTCGCCGTTGTCTTTGTGACCTAAAGGGAAGTAAATGAAATGCACTTGCGCTAAAGATCTTGGAGAGACGAAGATCTATTTTAGATACTTGGTTATTGCTGAAAATCGATCGCAGTGGTGCAGACGCATTCACTTTGACGTCTTGTAAAGCTTAAATATTCGCACTAACCTTTATCTTCAAATTATTTATTCTGTAACATAACTTTGTTCACTTTGATATCACTCTTTTTCTTTCAACTTGTTATTTATATATTACTGTAAAGTGTGGCAACTTGAGCCAATGGATTTGTGTGCAAGGTTCTGCGTCGGTTATGTCAGGCAGTCAGTGATGGGACTCGTTGATCTTCATCTGATAACATTTCCGATTTAATGGGAGAATATACAAGCAGATGAAGGGAACTCTAATGGGATTTACTGCAACAGCAATAATGCAGAGACTAAAAGCTATCATACGCTTTGTTTACGATACTTATGTTATGATTAAAGAGGATGAATTAGAAAATATTGTTTGATCAACAACGTTTTCAATGACATCAAGTTCACAGTGGAGAAGGATTCGAACAATAGACTGCCATTCGTGGATGTTTTAGTCAGTAGAATCAACACTGAAAAATTGGAAACTCAAGTGTACAGGAAGTCAACATACACTGGTCAAATCTCCAACTATATTATTAACAACCCAACGACGCACAAAATTATTTGCCTACAGTATTTATTCAAAAGATCAAGAACGTCGCAGTACAACAACTTTACAGAGAAACTGCAGAGAACAAAGTGCAATGGAGACGTGCTACTGAAGCCTTGTGTTCCACTAGGAACCTAAGGGACAAACAATAATAATAATATAATAGTACATAGGAGCCCATCTCCCAGTAGCAGTGGTCGAGCGCTTTGGCCCTGTATAACAATGAGAAATTACATGTATCATAACAACATAAAGTGAAACATGTTCAAATACTACGTGTTTGTTTGTGCAGTGTTTGGTATGACCCTAAATGTTATCCAGTTGAAGATGTTTTTGCCTCACCTTAACACACGTCCAATTGACTTTAAATTTTACCTGCATTCTGATATTTCTCTATGGTATATACATTTACAACATATATATATATATATATATATATATATATATATATATTATTAGTCTTTGGGTTCCTAATGGAACATAGGGCTTCAGTAGCACGTCTCCAGTGAACTCTGTCCTCTGAAATCTTTTGAACCTGGCTCATGACAGCCCAGAAGCTCTCATTTCCTCCTCGCACGATCTCCTCCATGTCACCCTCGGATGCCCAACTCGTCGTTTCCCATCTGAGTTCCACTCGAGGGCCTGACGCGTGATGTCCCCAGTCGGCCTTCTCAGTGTATGCCCAATCCATCTCCACTTCCTTCCAGTGCATATTTGTTGAGTGATAGGTTCTTGGTTGGTTCGTTCCCAGAGCTCCTTGTTGCTCATTCTTTCTGGCAATCCATCTGATCTTCAGTAGCGAGCCAGCGTAAGCAGTTGTTGATGAATGTCTGTAGTTTATTGGAAATGCCTTTCGTAACGCGCCAAGTCTCTGAACCATACAGAAGCACTGACTTGACTGAATTGGTGTTGAAAATCCGTATCTTGTTCCATATGCTGAGTGCAGAAGATCTCCACACTGGTTTCAGGGTAATGAACGATATATATATATATATATATATATATATATATATATAATATATATATATATATATATACGGAAAATCATCAATTGTTTTCACATGTTTGTTAGCCTCACTTCTTTGAAATCTAACTTCATTATTATTGTCAAACTTAATTTACTTTAGATACTGTTTCAGTTCTGTCTTTATCGATCAAGACAACGTCAAGATGACAGTCATGGCAACGTGAATCATGATCAAACGAATTTATTAGACTCAAATGATAATCAAACTGAAGTTGTCTAAGATTATTTATTTTTCTTTATGTATGTAATGTGTCTTTCAGTTTTATTTTTGTAAAACACTTCATTATTGTTACTGGGTAGTGATTGAAGGTGAAATACAAATTTGGGCCGTAATAAGATTTGAACTAGCGACCTTTAAGATCCAGATTTTCTGACCCAATTTGTATTCACTGCCTTCCTGTGTACATTTATTTATTTATTAATATCAATTGATCAGTTAGTTGATTTCAAGCATTTTTCATTCTCTTGTGAATGTATTTGTAAGCTCTTTAGTTGAATCAATCCTTCTGTTACTATTTTATTTTATTGTTATCACAATTTGACCAGTAAAACACTCAGTTCAAAGCTTGTTGAATTATTCTCCTAATTATTGAAAGTGTGTATTGTATAGTTATGTGTGTATGTGTTTGTTTGTAAATGATATTTGCTATCCTTTTGTCTTGCTATATTCCTTTACCTGAAGATGTCATCCCACTGCATCTATCAAGAGGTCCTGTTATAGTAGCTGACTGTGAAGGCTGCGTCGAGCATGTATATTATGCCAATTACGCGTGTTTACCCGAGCACGTACAGTCGTTTTACAAGGGCTTATAGACTGTTGTCATTTGATTTGACGACAAACAGCGGCGTTTCCTAAAGTATTCATTGTCGTCATTTCTGCTTACATCAACTTCTCGGGAGTTGACTTAATCCCTCGAGGGAACCTGGTTGATGCTGACAAAATGATAGATCTTCAGAATGTCTTCAGTACTGATGTTGACAAACTCCCACTTTAAAACAGCATGCAAAATAGTGACGTGCATTGGTCACGTACTTGGGTAGTTACATCAGTCCTAATTGGTTGGTTGCAAATGAAATCTCAGCTTGGGTACAAAAGGTCGGTTTGGTACATGCCGACTTACTTCATTTCTGGTGTCCTACAGATATCCAACTACTTATAAAAAACGATTACACTGCACAGCGGTTTTTTCTGTTCTGTTTTATGTTTTTGAGACACGATCGTTGAAAGTAAAAGACATGAAAAGGCTGTAGGCTTTTGTTTGGTGGAAGTACTATATGAGCTGTGTCAAGGATTGGCGTAGAGTTCTAGACAACGGAGGTAATCCAGTCGACGAGGTTGTATGTTTGTAGCAGCTGAAGTGACCTGGGTATATGTTACATATTCTTGACTATCGCCTGCCTGGATTTTATTAAATGAAGCACAACTAATTTGAAAGCTGGAAGTGACCAGACCAAGACAGGGCTCCAGTTCCTGTAGAATAACTGTCGGGGAAACTGTGCATCAAGATGTAGTCTACTTGACTGACGTCCTCGATTTTCTAGGCATTTTTTAAAATTATGATATGACTTAAAATGAGTGACGATGGTGCAGGTGTATCAACTCTTCAAAATTCCAAACGTTTCATTGGCATTTATTTATATTTATTCTCTCTTATTTCATACACTTTTATCTACCTTAGTATTGCTCTTTTTCTATCCGCTTCTTTCTATGTTGGTGTGAATAATGCAACTAAAAGTGATATGTTTCTGTTTAAGTTTCGAAATCGATTTGTTAACTTGTTTCTAGTTGACTTCCATTTTGATGTTCTGATGGGGAATTTGACAGCTTGGACTAATAGGTAGTGATGTCATGTTCTTTATTGACTGTGTATTCCCATCGGACTGTCGTTTGTTACTTGTAAGACTGGACGACATATTCTTATCATACTTATCTACTAGACGGAAAGGATGATTGATTTTGTATATCTCTCGGTCTCATGACAATGGGATACAACAGTTGATCGTATAAGAGTAGCTGGATCTTGTAAGCTCACTCAGTCGAACACTTTACTAGTAACTCTGTGGTTACTGATTCAAATCCTGATTTTCTCCTAATTTCAATCGTCAATGGGGCGTCTAAGTTATCACTGGAAACCGTGTTTCTAAGCGCTCAGATCCCAAAAACTGATGCTTTTTTGTTGATTACGAAGTTGGTTTGGCACTGGGAATACGGTATTAAAATTCACTGGTCTCACTCATTTTCCTGGTAACATTAAGTGGTGACAAATTATAGTTGCACTCAAATTACCAGGCATTTAGTAGAATTTACAGTCGTACCATTTTGACTATCTGAGATAAACGTGGTTTGGCAGACTAGTATTTATACTTGGTGATGAGTGAAGGTGAAGTGAATATTTGTACTGCTGCTGGATTCGAACCAGTGATCACCCTGTTTTCTGCCCGGTGGTCTGCCAACTGAGTTGCGAGGTCCGACAGCTGACCAGATTCTTGTTTCACTTCAATCACAAGGCGAGGTTTTGCCCTACTACCACTGTCTATCTAGTCAAGACTTCTCATCCCAATGGAAATCTAACTGAATTAGAGAGAGGAAGGATCATACTGGTTATCATTTTAACTATCTGAAATAGCCATGGTTTGGCAGACTATCATTTATACTGGGTGATGATTGAAGGTGAATCGAAAATTTGATCCGCGGTCTAAGTTTTCATTTATAGTTTTGTCAATGCTTCCTGTCAAGCCTTCTTTTTATTTGGGAATCTTTTAAAATAAAGAAATTTGTATTCATTATCCACCAAAATTACACTTTATGAAAGGAAAGTTGGAATTATGTAACTATTTCTGTCTATTGGGAACCGCACATTTTGCTTCATGATTACTAAATGCGTTCATCTACGAATAATGAAATATTTAGTCCATTAAATAATGGTACGTGGAATAAATGGATTACACAGGGACAATGGACAAGTTGCCTTTTGTTGTAGATGAAAATGTGAAAGTGAAGGTTGGTCAGAACATCGTGATGCATAACATGGACTGCACCGTTGAAATTTATCTCTCTAACATATTACAGTGACTGAATAATTTACTCTGGTAGTCTTCAGAAAATAAAGTCTTACTATTAGTGAGTCTTTTGTTTTGAAAACGAGGAATCCATAACTATTGCCAGTGGAAATGCATTATTTTGTCCTCATCAGGGCGATGTATTGAATGGTTAACGATGGGATTCTGCTAGGTCAGAAAGGTCTAGAAAGACAATGTAAGCTTCATGATTAAAACCCTCAGCTCCGAGAATGCAACACAACCAATATATATGTATCCTGTACTTATGTATTGAGTTTGACCAAATTTTGATGAAAATTCTTTCCTCTGAAATTTTTTTGTTTTTCCTAATAGTAAATTAGAACTAGTGCCTGCTTATATGACTTATTTATTGATTTTTTGCTTTCTGTAAAATTTTCTTAGCAATATCATACTTTCAGCTTAGTACAGTTTATCAGATCTCTCTGTATTGATTTTTTAACGTGATTTTCCATTGAAATAGGTGAGTAGTACAGTCCATATTGTAGTTTCCGCGCAGTAAACACATGATCATTGGAGTATACATTCAATATATTGAATGGATTGTACTATATAGCAAAACTTTTGTTGATAATTGTTTAGTACTGAATTCCACATGTGATACACAAAATGTGTTCTTCATACCATATCGCATGATTCACGTATTGATCTCATATGGGTTACTTTCCTTCTCTAAGATATTTTCATATATTGTTGACCTGTTGACTTAATCAAAAGCGTCAATGGAATCGAAAGGCTATCATATCAATGGAAAGTCTTTGCTCAGAAGCGAGTGGATATCAAATTGATTTCTCATATATGAAATACTTTTTAAATAATTCAAAAGGTGACATTTTACACAAAATTGCTTTGTTCTGTTTCAGTGGAGGCCATTGAATATTCTAGGATAAAACCTAAAAATTGCAGCAGGGTGAGAGAATCCCCCTTACTTCTAGCTGTCTACACCCTAAGATTTAAAACATTTCGGTTTCTTTCAATGATGTAATGAGTAGCTCAGCATGACTCAAACTCACGTACAAGTTGTGTAGCTTTATAGTTCCACCGAAAAGATCATAACCTGGGCGAGTGAGTACATCACTTATCTACTGTTGCTGCTGAACTATTCGGGTAATGAATATTTCTTGACTCAATACTATTGTTTGTTCTTGGATGTGATATTGTACTGACTTTCTCAGTACTGATCTAAGCTTATTGATCAAAACGGCGCAGGGGAACTGATTTGTGTAAGTTGTTATGGTGTGTTTACACTTCCTATTCGGTGTGTCATTTAAGATGATATATACTTAGTAACCATGTGCCCTGTCATGCAATATTAGCTGAATTACATTTAGACCGAAAAAACATCAAAGGTGGTCAGACTGAGAAGTGACATCAGTTCATGAAGCTTTTGACTGCCAATCTGAGCTATGTAGGGGAATCTAAACTTCCCAACTGGGGTCAGTGTGACAACTGTAATCATTGTCTTAAGACTCTAGGCGATATATCTCAGAATCGATCTCTCACCTTATCTATATCTTCATTCTCATACCACATTCACTGATTGCTTAATAACCTCTTTCTCTTTTCTTACAACTTCACACAATTTTGGTCGCATTTTCTCCTATTTTTCACCTTACCACCTTTTGTCTGGAAGTTTCGATACGAGGTGTGACAAGCTAGACCGCTATGCAATAATCCGAGGCCTTACGATGATATTGACTCATTTAGAAAAAAGATTTCTCAAAAGTATAACTGTTAATCTACATAATATTTTGAATAATCCAACAGCTGTTGTGCAACACTTTATTTACTTGGGGCGTTTCATCAGTCCTAATGGGTTCGTTACTAACATATTGTGGGGTCGGATACAGAAGACCCATTTGGCAACCTACATCGTTTCTGATGCTGCCGAGGTATCGAACTACCTATCGGAGCGAAAAAAGATTAATGGAAATGCACTTGGCCACCACGTGCATGTTCATGTGGTAGGCTTCAAGTCAAACCTTTTGTGTGAAACTTGTTGATACCACCTGGGTGCTCAAACCTTGGTAGGTGGAGCGGTGTTCGAATCCATGGCCCACTGGAAGTCAAGTACGTGAAATGATGAAAAGGATTGTTAGCTCAAGATGAGAATGGTGGTTCTTTGGTGTTTTCTGAGGTTTGATATTTACAAGTGTCTAGACCAACGAGAAATAGCTTCATACAGTAAAGGATGAGAATACTACAATGCATTCTTCTCTGTCCTGTTATGTGGCTGTAGGACTTCAGTGCTGAAAATACATGATATGAAGATGTTGCAGGTTTCCGACTGTATGTATCTTTGCGTGATTAATCATCTACTGTGGAATCGCTGTTTGGACGATTTTGAGGTTAGGCGAAAGGTATTAAGCCAGTCAGTCGATGGGGTTGTGAACCCTCAGCAAATGAGGTGATTTAGATATATGTTGTGGATGCGGAATCACTGTCTATCTCGACGTGCAATGTCAACTGAATTAAGGCTAGTTTGAAAGAAAATTAAGTGCTTAGACCAAGAAGTGACATAAGTATATGAAGTCTGAGTTGATTTGAACCGTGTGAGCTGCTTCGCTGGGATCCTCAAGGCAATAGGAATCTGTGGATGGAGACTGCAGTGTGGCTCAAAAATCGGTCACAATAGCTTGAATGTAAACACTTTGTCATTTTCGAAGTTTTCAACACTTTCCATTAACCCTCATCTCTATATTTTCCCAACTCTCATACACTTTTGTTTACCGTAATGTCAATTTTGCCATACACTTCTTCGTTGTGTACTGCTGCGAAGTGTGACAAGCTGGGCTGATGCACTTTTGTGCCAGGTTCTACGTTGATTTATCTGTTTATCTATTTTCGGATGTTAGGCTATTTGTTTTAGTGTTAGTATGTGAATTCGGCTGTTAGTCGTGACGTAATATATGTGATTTCTTGTGAATGGTTGACGTAGACCCATTATAGCTAACTGTTGGATCATTGGTAATGAGTCCCATTCTCCTGTTACATCCTAGGCTGCTGGATTGTATCATAAGTCTTCACAGTAGGTGTGACTTATATTGTCACTGCATTTTGGGCTGTTAAGTCACATTTATCTATCATTATTGCCTCCACCTACCGAGGTTTGAGCAGCCGGGTAGCATCACTGACTGAAGTGAACGAGTGGAAGTGACTGATAGAATAATACGAGAACGCTGCTAACTCAATGAGATACTTAGACTGGATACGAATAGCCACTGTTCTCCCTCAGACTTGACAATTCACTGAGCCACAAAAATCAGAAGACAGAGACCAACTTGTGACTAGAAGGAAGACAGCTTTATTTGACTAAAGATATATTATTCATACACCGTTTTTCCTCAGAAAATAAAGGCGCTGGGTCAGAAGTTGGATGCTTATTTTTATTGGTTAGCTGAGGGACAGATTTGTCCAATAAGGTTTTCTCTGCCCACAGTAACCCTAAACAGGGTTGGAATCCAAAACTTCTACCGTAGCGGCTGATGACTTAGACTGCTAATTTCGATTAAGGCCGCTTTCTACCACTAACTCTCATACAATTACGTCTGGATCATTACCTGGCGCATTAATGTGCACGTGGATGCTGTGTGCGCTCGCGAGAGAGTTTGGTTCGGTTATCACTATCTCGTGAAATTGATATATTTGTCATATATTATATGGAGATGAACATTGAAACATTTTCTTTTACTTTCTTGAATGAATCATCTAGGCAGTATTAGACGATAATGATGCTGCTAAAGCATGGCGTAATCGTGATCGCTTGCATTCTTCATTATTAGCTATTTTTCCTGCTGCAGTCATTGGTAAACCAGTTACAGTTACACTTTTGGATGAAACTCGCTTAACTGGACGTTTATGTTCATGTGATGGATTGATGAATTTACAGTTAGATAGTGGAGTTATAATAAGAAATCCAAATACCGATGAATTCACTTTACTTGATGTAAGTTCATTTTATCAGTTGTTTTCAACAAAAATTAATTTCTTTATCATTGTTATACATCATTCATACTCAAATGAGAATAACTCAGCTGATAGAGAGCCGCATCGGTAACTCGGAGGTCGCTGGTTCGAATCCTGCCGTGACTCTGATTTTCATTTCATCTCCAATCATCACCTAATATCATTAACACAAGTCTGATAAAACAACGTCAATCTCAAATAATCAAACTGATAATAATTCTTTAATGTATTTTTGAGATGAATAGGGATTTTTAATTTAGAAGTAGTATTCATCATGGACTGACATCAGTTGGGGAACCATTGGAAATCTGGGAGCACTGGACAGCTGTTTCATTCTAGCATGGGACTCCTCAGCAGTACACACCCACAACCCGGGTGAGGATCGAACCCAGGACCTTCAGGCTTCACGGCGAACGCGTTAACCATTCATTCACTGGGTCGGTTTTCAGTGGTTCACAATTTCCAACTTTGTCAATTCATGACATAGCATGACTGTCACCCAAGGTCTTCAGTTAGCATTGACTTCACTTCCGACTGGTTGACTGCACAGGTCACGGCTTCTGATTAGAGCTTCATGATATCCATCTGGTGCGTACTGTTGAGTAGTCCCATACTAGGACGAAACAGCTGTCCAGTGCTCCCAGACTTTCAATGTTTCCCCAACTGATATCACTTCATGATGAATACTACTTCCAAATAATTCTTTAGTTAAGAAAATTCTACTGAAGCGGAGAAAAAGTCTACCTTAAACGCTTAAATTGCTTATTTAAAGACCTAGTAATGAATATTTCCAAGCTTAGTTTGAATGTTTCCTTATCACTGAAGCATAAATTGAAAAGAGTAATCTTCGGACTGAATAGCGTAGCTTTGGTTGCTTCAACGGATAAGTTCAATTGCATCGAGGGAATGCAGCATGCGTAGATAAAAAAAATCATACCAGAATGATTTTCAGTATTGAAATGATGGAGAATATTTGTAATTCAGAAGGATGATTTTGCTGTTGTATCCATAAAATCCCTGACTGTTTGTTTCGAATAATTTACAGAGGTATAGACTACCTGGATTAAGTCCCCGAGACGACATTGTTCTAAATCAGTTCCAGTGGCGTAGATGTATTCTCTCTTAGATGTCTTCTACAGCATGAATATTTTGAGTGACTCTAATTTTTCCATTTCCTCTCCTCTCATACACCTGTTGTCTGTGGTACCGACTGGCAAGATATCTGACTACCTATCAAACAACAAGTATACTGCAATGCAGTCAGTTCTGTCCAGCCACACGTCTGTGAGAGATGGCCGTTGAAAGTGGGAGACATAAAGCGGCTACAGGGTTCTGATCACACGTGTCTTCGTAGTATTTCTCCCATTTTTTGGTGGAATTACTGTGTGAACAATGTTGAAGTCAGACGAAAAGCACTAGTCAAGATAGGAAAGTCGATTGATGAAGTCGTGAATGTTAGTGGAGTGAGATGGTTTGGACGTGTGTCACACATGCTGAACCACCACCTACCTCAACGTGTCGTGCTAGGGGACGTTGTACTAGGTTGGAAGAGACTTCATGGTAGCCAGATCAAGACGTGGCACCATTCGATAAAGTCTCTGACTGTTGATCTCAGTCATATGGGAAGATGTAGACTACCTAGATGGGATTCTTGAGATGATAAGAATCAGTGGTTGAAGAATGACTCTTGATGAAATGGTTAAAATTCTGCCACACTGACCCTAAGACTAACACCTGTGTGCGAGTTTCTGCGCTGCTTTTATCAGTCAGTCTCTTATCGCCACTGGCGTTTCCATCTCTTTATCCTCCAGTGTTCACAGTTATTGCGTAGACTCTTCGTCAGTCTACATTTGAGCTGGATCCAGTCCTCATTACGCTTAGAGCCAAGAAGAATGTGTTCATATGCACTCATTAAATTAACAGAAGCTACTGACAACCATTGACTCTTTGTAACCACATTCTGAGAGTCAGCTATCGTCTGTAAAGCTGTTATGTCAGCAGCAGACTGCAGATGGTACCAGACTTCTTCTGCATAAATGGTGTTGTTTTGTTCACATAAGGGTCTAATCAGTTTCCTTACTGAAACACCCTCAGTATTTTCACTGAGAAGATGTTCTCGTAATGATCTCGCTGCTCCAGACTTCCCGCTTTTATTCAGACAACGATATGCGTATGCTCCAAACAACGAGTGATCAAAAGTAAAAATACATGTTTCAAAAGTATTCACAATCCCCCACAGACTGTATGCATCAGTCCGTCCTTGAGTTGAGGTCCGTAGATGCCACGTCAGACAATGTACTGCTTCAATTTTGAAGTTCCTGCTGGCCAATGATAGGAGGTTGTCCAAATACACTTGAAACAGGCAGTCGGTGTTTATTTGACTAGAATTCCGAAAATACCATTTAATTACCTCTCTGATCATCCCACTTACCGTACCCATTTGTCCATTGTAAGCACCTGCTACAAAAACCACATCTGAACAGTTGTTTTTTAGTCTGATATCAGGCAGTCTTTGGTAGAAGTTATCTTTCACTTCTTCAAAACTGCAGTTAGTCGGTGCAGAAATTATAAATAGACAACAGTGAGTGATTTTCCCCTTCTTTTTAGTTCACACTACACCCTATAGCCAGGGAGCGTATAAGCGACTATCAACTGGGATCCAGTAAAGCCGTGCACTTGCTGCCTCAACACCTAATGATATACTTACACACCTGCAAGATTGTGAAAAATAGCCATCGAAGCTCCAGGAGCTCCAAGGGTGAATTTTACGGATCCACCATATTGGCCGGGTGAGGTCAAGTGAATAACCCTATGTGAGTGTCTCACAAGTACAGTACACTTCTATGGCACGAGATGTCAGAATTTTGGCCAGCAAGGCTTGTTGTTCAATTCCAAATTGGGTGCAACTATAGAAAACTGCAATATAAAATCTGGAGTGCGGTTCTAGAAGACCAAGGATGTTGTTCCGTGAACTCAAGTCGTTATCAAGAGCTACAGAGCTGAAAATAATTAAAGATGACATAGGAAAAAGCAAAGAGAGAAGTGAAGGAAGATTAGAAGACAAAATGTGGAAGGTTAATAATGACTTGTGGGAACTTGAGTGCTGACAAAGCTATGAGGACGGTTGACGCTTCCTGACTGCCCACACCGTGGAAGGCTAGTTCTCTTTGAGGTACCTAAGAAAGAAGGGTTAGTGTATGGACCGCAAAGTCCAAAGGATATCTGCTGGAGAGGAAAGTCACATACCACCATTATAGAAGTTTGATAGTTAGTTCGCTTTGTGAAAATCCATCGATGAGCCCATGCCATCATGAGCCATATCATCTACACTCTCCTGCTGGTTTGCCACGACAACCCTAAATAGGAAGTTTAAACATAAAGATTAGTAAACTCCTCAAGTAACATACCACTTTGGATAAGAATTCGAATTCGTGATTTCATGAGTCAATATCAATGCTTTTTCCATGAACCTTAATCTAGACATGCTGAAAAGTGAGTGATTTTAAATCCTAACTCTAAAATCTTAAAGTTATGCGCGGATTTGCCTCTATGATACCTGAGTATAAGAGTATAATTTGGGCACTATGATAGAGGATACTCCCATTTAAGTTCTCTTATTAGAAAGAATCGGAATGACATAATGCTAGGTCTGTAAAAGTGGAATATTTTACTACCTATTAAGTCAGAGAATAAAAAACAGCAGAACTAGATCAGCAAGTCTTGTGAATATCTTGATATGTTCCTTGGCAGGGTCATGAATGTACACTACCGAGGACTCTCATACTAGAACGAAACAGCCGTTCAGTGCTTCCAGGTTTACAATGGTTCCTTAACTGATGTCAGTTCATAATGAATAACAACTTAAAGTGATTATGAATAACAAATTGTGCTAAAAATGTCAACCAGTAAATAATACTACTTGATTGTGTGATAGGCATTTACGATACTTTCTGCTAAGAGTCACGTTCAAATATCCAATGAGTGCCGAGGCATTTTTGAAAGAAATTATTACCAGTTGAATAATTGAGTAACTTGACAGCATCATAATCACCATTATTACAACGGCCTCTATTGTTTCCTTTATTTGATTTCCCGTAACTGAGTCACCTTTAAAGTGGAACACTTTGAATAGATATATTTTATTACAGTGTTTCAATTTGTTTTCATCTACTTAAACTAGATTTAATATCTTTTGTTTAACGTCTTACAATAGACTGATTTAATTGATAAACCGCTCAACACTTAACCAGAGTGCATAATTCATCGTTGAAAAATAAAACAGAACAAAACAGTTTATAAACATCCTCTAGGCTATAAAAACTTACCTATATAATAATAAAACAAAGCAGTAATCGAAAATTAAATTTAATTGCGAAATCGAAAAAAAAACAACAACTGAGATATGATAAAAACATTATGTACCCATAAGAGTTTGTAAAATAATTTTGTTATTTTGACCAAGTTTACATGTGTATATCAACAAATGCTTACTTTGATGAAAACACGCCATTAACATTGCAGCTCATTAGATATTTAACGTGTTTACTGGACTATGATACAGCAAAAGACTCCAGTAGACAGCTTGAACACAATTTACTATTTCATAGGTGGATTATAACGTCACCTTTAACATTCATCAATGAGCAACTAGTGACAATCATTCCCTTGATAAGTTTAGAAATTTAAAATCATTTATGTGGTGTTGCGTTTTCTGAGATAGACAGATGAAATCAACATAGCAACTCGCACACAACTCCATTCGTTCAAATTGTTACACTTGATATAGTAGCATGCAAAGAAGAGATTGATAGAAAGAGAGTGATATCAAAGTGGACGAGGTTGTGTGAGAGAGAACAAGAAATTTAACGATAATCATTAGTGCAAATATTCAAGCATTATGTGTGAAGCAGTGAAAACATGTGGGGGCCAGTGTGGCAGAATTGTAACCATTTCATCAAGAGTCATTCTTCAACCACTGAT